GTTCTTGCATTGCTAAGCTCAACACATCAGCTAATGAACCGATGGAGTACGACCTTTGTTTAGGAATGTTATTCGTCTGATTTAAGATATCATGTGGCATCTGTTCTGTCGAGTCCTTTCTTTACTTGAGGGAGACCCAATGGTTCATATCATCATCATCTCCTTGTCCCCAATAAATGAAGGGGACCATCTGATCCGTAAGGAATTGAAATTATGGCTGGTACATTATTCATGTGCACATTCCTAACCTTCACATGCCAAGGTTTATAGCCCCGAGTATTTCTTTTTTTTAGCTGATCGTGCATTTCGAGTAGATTGCCTCGGGAGAATCGATCGATGTACTAAAAGATAAATCGGTGAGCGTAAAAAATAGTTATTAAAGGTAAATGGTTGGTATTCATATTGGCACCACGTAGTGTTGGCAATCGGATTAGACTAGATGGTTATATAACTTAATTATGCTAGTTATAGGTATTATGTAAGTCAATTATATGAGTTATGTGATATTATACATCCTCTTTTTACTTATTGTATAGTTAATATATTTTTATTTTATATTATCTATTATATATATTATGATGTAATTCAATGAGAATCAAATCATGATGAGATCACGATAATGAGTCTGATTCATCTTTAAACACATATCATAAATAATCTCGGTCATAGATTACTCGATAAGGACATCGATATAACAAGATAGACTAATGTGTTGTATACCCGTCCATATATGGAGGCGGTTGGTCTCATAGTTACTCGTATAGGAAAACTAGGGATACGATATAGGTGCTCATTGGAGAATGAGTTTACTGATCGATCTGCACACGAAATACTGGATAGTTGATGATATCTTATTGTTAGACAGCAATTATATTGTCCTAGTGGCGGTCTTTAGACTTGAGACACCAAGGATATTCTATATGAGTACTTCACTCTTTGTTACCAGACTTATATGCTTGAAAGTTTTAGATCTAGCACAGTTTGTCATTATGAGTGGTAGCTAACTTTACGAGGGTAATTGAGTATCGATAGGGGATCATCCACTCTCGATGTCATGAGATGAATATCCTATGTGTTCTTGCTCAAACAAATTTTTAGCTAAGATCATTCGATTGAGAGAGAAAGAGTTTCCAAAAGAATCTGATTTCAACAAGGCTTGAGTAAAAATTGTATGAGTTTGACAGCATCAGAATATGATCTATAAAATATTAGATTGATAAGGGATTATAGATATATGATAATTTAGGATAGATATGTTCAATGGATTGGATTCCTTGGTATCATTTAAGAATTATAGCATAATGGACTTGTACGTCCATAATTGATGAGTCAAGTGAATTATTATAGAGATAATAATTTACTAAACTATAAGGAATTCTAACATGTATGACTCATGACTAGCTCAATATTAGACATAAAATGTCACACACATATGATAAATGTTGCGACGAGTAGAGGTTTATATATAAGATATCTGTTGGAGCCTCTATCTTATTAGATATCCAAGAAGCCTCTGAATTATTGGATCCTATGAATGAGATCCAATAAGAGTCAATAAGAGATTATTGGGTAGAGATCCACTAATCTAAGAGGTTTGGGTAGTTGAATGAAAATCTAGTACCCAATAGAGCTGGATCTATTATGGTAAGTTTATAGAGATCTCTATAAATAAGAGGGAACCAAAGGGCTATAGGCTAAATCCCTTTTGACTGCACCTCCTATACTCCTCTTTTCTTCTCCTCCTCAATTAGCAGCCCCTATTTGAGGCATGTGGATAGCAAGAATGGCTAATCCCTTCTTGATCACGTGGTGTGCGTGGAAAGAAAAATTGTGCAGTAATTTGAAGAGCATTTTCATAGTCCCTGATGTATGAATCACCACTAGAGAGGAGGATAATTAGCTTTCTTCATTCTCTTCTATAAATCTATAAGATTTCAAGGATATATGATATCTCTAGGTAACGACATTTTTAATATATTCATAGTTTTTTGATTTTACGATTCTTGCATAACAATCTTTACACGACAATGAAACCTTATTTTTCTGTAAGAAATTCTATATATTTTTTTTCTGTTCTTCCACTGTGCATATGACATAGATCGATATCATAGTGTTAGTAATCGTATTGCTCAAACTAAAGTGCTATAACTTGATTCCACGTACGACATATGTTGTTTACTAAAAGTATTACCGGTATCTTTGATTTTAGATATATTTTTATTATTTACTTCATGTTTTATGTGTTTAGTATACCTATAAATACCTCACCAACCTATAATGCTTTCATCAAAAACACAAATATAAAGGAGAAAATTATAAAAAAAATATAAAACTTTAAGACTATACAAATACGTTTCTTTTGGGTGTCAGATAATTATGATCTAATTAAATAGAAAACGACCGAGAATAGAATTGGAGTGATATTAGTTAACAGAGATGACATAAATTTTGTGTTGTATTTAAAATATTTAAGTGAAAGCAAGATATTCTTCTCCTTGCATCTGTCCCTTCATCAGCACCAAGATTAATAATAATGATTCATATTCAAGTTTTTGAGTTTTGGGGATATATATAATTATAATTTTAAGATTACGTAATTTTTACCAAATATTCAGTAGTTAGGTTACATAATTGAATCATTGGACTCACTTACAAGAACATGAACTGTAATTTATTGTCCCCAGTACAGTACACCTCTTATCTGTTACCTTTGGATGTTGTTGTAGTGGTCCTTTACTTCACACTCGCTCTCCTCCTAATGCCATGATCGTTGTGGGCCCTTAAGAAAGGCCATCAGTCCTTAAAGGACGGAGCCCTACCTTTGTCGCAGAGAGATGGAGGTGATGAAGACTGCTGCGTCATCCGGTCAAGTTCCATGTGTGCTGATCTCTCCCACATGTATCATGTACGCAAGTCACTGCAGCTAGCAGATTGATGTCCTCACGGCATCCACTTGGATGCAGTATCCAAAGCCACCCGATCGTGTCTTAGGCTGAGAGCACAGTGATGAGGCTGCACTGTTTGAGAACATTCATAAGGAGCTGATCATTCCATCCACTTCTCATGATTGCTTCTTCTGCTCCATACGATGCATAGACCAAGCTGGATCCATCGTGTCTCTCTCTCTCTCTCTCTCCTTCTGCGATGCTCCCCCCATCCTTAATGTCTAAGCACTCTCGGTGACTTCATCTTGGAGATGCTTTCACTTATGTGGTCCTTAGATTGGGGTTCACCCGACAGCACTATCACCCCATGTCTTGAGAAGAACACCTAAGTTTTTGAGAGCCAGGCCTATCCAACACTGACACTGTTACCAATAGGGAACAATCACCCTCAAAGTCTGGATCCCATGGGGACGTGTAAGAAATCTTAACTCCCGACTCTGATGGATCTAATGACATCCTATGTTGTCTCACCTGGCGTGAGCTTGTGGTGAGCTAGCTAGGCTAGGCAGGCCACCGAGACAAACTTTGGTTTTGAGGGGGCTATAAGCGATCATGATCATAGGAGTTGGTGATCGGTGTTAATACCTGAGGCAACTTTCTTGGATATAGAAGAAGGGGGGGAGTAGCTCTCACGAGGACAGTGCCAGAATTATGAGAGAGAGAGAAGCCCAAGGTTTGAGACATGGAAAGATGGTTGTGTGACAGCGACCAGTCTTTTGTGGCAGAGAAGGGTCAATGGAGAAGGTGAAGCGGTTGTGAAGGTAGGAATAATTACAAAAATGGTCAGACAATTCATGCCTACAACACGAATTTTGAGAAGGCATGCATACAAGTCAAAGAAGATTTCACACTTCAGTACTTTCTGACTTGTTTTGAGATGTTTGCGAGTATTAGACTGCGTATTTCCAGTAACCCGATACAGAATTGTTGGTTCGATCTCATGCTCTACGCGTCGTCGGCTGAGATACATCAGTGTGTATTTGTTTCGCCGCTGATCCAGACGAAGTGAGTTGCCTGGAAAATGAGATGCATGTACTGCTTCCTCGAAACTTCAAAGGTCTTGTTGTTACTCCACGGTTGCCGTGCCGTCATCATGATATTACTACTTCCGCCTGAGCTTATACAAGACGGCAGCGAGGCTCAAATATCAAGTCCTTCCAATACGTACAAGCCTAAACCATTTTACACGCACGCCAAGGCCAGATAACTACTTCCCACTGCTACCAAACACCGGAAACTGAAGCTTTTTCGAGCTGTAAAAAAGGCTACGCCGTTCGAAAAAGAGAGAGAGAGAGAGAGAGAGAGAGAGAGAGGAAAGGTCGATGGGTTGGACAAAAGCATTCCTGGTTTCCTTCGGGAAACGACATCGTACCATAACCATCGGTCACCGAGCAAACCTTATATGTCCCAAATCAACTAACAACCCTCCATTTCTATCTCCATCAGAGATCTCTCATGATGCTCCAAAATCTAGCTTTAGTGCCATTCCTACAAAAGCAGCACATACGTGATAGATATGTGAACCCAGCACATTCAATAAGTCAATGTCAGGTGATCGATCCTGTGGGTGTCACAGCTTTGTTTATTTGCCTCAAAATCGTTCTTGAACCATTACATATACATATCATATATAGGGTTTCTTATCCTTTCTAATCTAATTCAAGCTATTCTGCGTGAAGTATGACGAGCAACTGTTACGGAGCTGACCAAGTCTCCCGGCTCATAGTTTTACATGGATGTTAAGAGGGGACTGCTTTTTCAGTGAAGGCTTATTCAAATCACTACAACTCACCCTTCCAATCATGCACACATTCCAGGACCACTTACAACACTGATACAACGAGACAGAGACAGAGAGAGAGAGAGAGAGAGAGAGAGATGATGATGATGATGAAAGATAATCACGTTTCCAGGTGATCCCCACTGGAGTGATGGCTAGCCATGCGAGGAAACCAGTGTCACAAAGCATGTAGGTAAACAGAACACGAAGAACAAGATGATGAGGTGATGGGAGTAAGGTTGTGCATATGTAGTAGTAGCATGCAGCAGTAACAGCAGCGGTAGTACTTTGGAAGTGGTTTGAGGAGCCAAAAGCCTCTCCTTAGTTTGGCATCAGCCCTTGTCAGCCCTATCCCCATATTTGACCCCACATCATATTTGGTATCTCCTCTTCTACCTCTTTCACTCTTGTAGACTTTGTGAACCATGACTACTGGAGTGTAGAAGAAACACCAAAGTTCCCTTCCCTTCCTTCCCTTCTCTTGGGCACTGCCGCAATCTTATACCTCCTTCCCTGCATACAGCGTGGTCGATCGATTGGACTCAGCTCGGAGGCGGCAGCGATGAGCCAGCAAGATGCACAGAGCTCCATGAGGGTCACCGTCGACTCCTTCTCCGAACTCCCCTTCATCCGTGCCTTACCGGCTGCTGAGAACACATCCAACGGTAGTAGCGCGGCCATCCGGCTGTTCGGCATCGACTTCCCCACGGATCCTGATGCATCATCACAAGATGGCTCCTTCAACGATCCTCCCTCTACCACTGAAACCAGTAACACCCAGCAGAGCGCCGCCAACGCAATCGCCAACACCGACAGTGGAGAGAGCGCCAAGAAGTTCGAGTGCCACTACTGCTGCCGCAAGTTCCCGACGTCGCAAGCCCTTGGCGGGCACCAGAACGCCCACAAGCGGGAGCGCCAGCACGCGAAACGAGCCCATCTCCACTCGGCTATGGCCAGCCAACACTACCACCATCCCAGCTTCGTCTACGGCTACCTCAACTACCGCAATCTGTGCTCCGCCCCCTCTACCGCCCGCTTTGACCACCCACCACCACCGAACTACCCTTCTTGGACCACCACCGCCCCTACCATCAACCCCGCGGCTCGCTTCTACGGCGGCTTAGGTTCCTCATCTCAGCCCGTAAACGGTAGCCCGATCCCCGAGCCATGGAGAATGCCAGTGCATGGCTGTACCGCAAGCTTCCAGGAAGACTATCCACCCGCGCCACCTTCTTTTGGAGGGAGAGACACGAAGGAGGTGGCCGTGGAAGGAGGCGGTGGTACTATCGGCTTCTGTTCCTCTTCCTCTTCTTCTTTGGCTTCCCAAAAGGACCAAGGTGGGCTTGATTCAGCCTCCAAGAATGGTTTGAGTTTGGATTTGCGTTTGTGATTGATTCATAGCAGTCCGGATAGCAAATATTTCGTTGATGAATTGCATGTCTCTCTTAATCTCCATCACATACAACTTTTCTCTCACTCTCACAATCATATTTATTGCTTCCTCATTTGTAGTAAAGAAACTGGAATGTTATCACCTCTTCCATGGTTAGAATTTAGCCGAACCAAAGATCAGCATAGATATCGGACATGGCCATCATGCTTTTGTTCAGAGATTGTCAGCTTGAAGTGGTCCCATTCATTATCAAAAAATTTCTTAAGCTATCTATCATTATGAGTTGTTTAGAATCCAATCATTCATCTTGCTTGTTTATTTTCTCATGAAATGATAGCCAGAATCTATGTTGTAGTGTCTGCATAATTCCATTGTACTTCTATTTTATGTGTCCTTTTACCTGCACATTATTACTCTCCTTGAATTTTAGTCATGAAGCCGATGAGACTAATTCAGAACGTAATTGTTGCTTTCAGCCCAGTTGCAGTGGAATTAACTATAAGATCATCATCATCACACTCTTGCAGTTTGATTAAAGTTCAGCATCAATACACACTACTTATATTTGACATCTTGTTTAACTTATTAAAATCTTCTTCTTGAGATACTCGGTTGCTCCTATTCTTGTTCATTCTTCCTCAATAGTATGCTGCTTGGACCTTTCTGCATTTGTACGTTTGCATCGAAGACACCCAACCAAGAGACTAAATTAGTCGAAATGCAATAGGAACATACATGTTTGAATCAATATTTTAATCCACATTATTGGAAAATATTCACGGGCGACGATGAGAGATATTGATTTTTGTTGAATTGGTGTTTGACTCAGACTCATTATTCATAAGAGTCTAACGCATATCAAGTACTGCACAGTGATTATTACATTGTTGCTCTAATGTTCACGTAGAATGAGTAACTCAGAGAATGATATCAATATCTTTCTCCAAGAATATATGTAGAGAGAGAACTTTTCCAGTGAGGGTTTTCTATTTCACATGCAGTACGTTTACAAGCCCCTTTTTGGTTGGTACTCTCTGGTAACACATGCAGTAGATGGATTGATATTACATATATCCTGCTGAAGAACTGAAACACAGACACAGTCAGTCAGACATTTCAAACTTGAAACTGGATTGTCATGAAATGCATAGAAGATAAAGCATGTTCTTGGCTGCATGGTGGGTCAGACATCTTAAGTGAGCCTGGAAGACCAACCTGCCACCATCTGATACATTATGCCATAAGATAGCTACGGATCATTGAATGATTTCCTCTAAATGTGAGCTCTGCCACCTCTTCTGCAAGCGACACTGCTGTAACTGCAACGTATACAGTAGTTTAATACGGCAGCATCTCCCCAAGACGCACACATACACACACCGGAGAGGGGGAAAGGAAAATGGCATTGCGATATCGAGTCCCGAAGCTTTTGCATGACAACAACTCCGATGAATCCATCCGTGACTTGGAATAAAAACAATCGTAATGATAGAGAGGATAGAGCGTAAGTCGAGGACAAAACACAAGGTTATGATTATTCTGAATCTTATTTTCCTTTCTTTCTTTTTTTTTGGGTTGTTTCAAGCAACTCTTCTAACTACAAGCAGGTTTCTGTGTACATATTCTACTAATTACTTCTCTTTTCAGCAGCTCCAATTTATCTCTGACCAACATTTCAATCCGAACCAAGAACAAGACCCAAGACCTGCTACAGATCTAATTGGTTCCAGCTGGTGTGTGTGTGTGTGTGTCTCACAACAATTGAGGCTAAGATGTTCCTATCGATATTGAGGTTTCATCCACAAAATGCTTTAGGCAGTGAAGTGAAAGTGGTATCATTAAATGAGATGCCTTTGTTTCTTGCATGACAGTGTAAGGTGATGGATGCATTGGGGAGACCTGCAGGAATGGCTCTTCTTTACTTGAGCAGTGCATGGCATTGGGACCTGAAGGTTTTGGACGCCACCGAATACCTTGGAACCTCTCCTGCCCGTTGGTCATCGAGGAGGCAATGGACTTACCATTGTCTAAGACTTAGTAGATGATCAACCTCTGATCATCTAATAACCACAAAATATATGGAAACTGACATGATTGATCATGCCATGCATATTATTCCATATTGTTCATAATTATATGTGCATGTTGGTTACCACTGTTGCAAGATTTATACCTGCGGTTGATAATGTTGTGGTGATAATATATAACTATAGTCTTAACAATCGTATGTAAAGGTTTATCTATTACTATTTTTTCTATATAGAAAAATAATAATAGAGAATCTTGCCTTTTAAAAAATAAATAATAAATAATTTCACTCCATAAATACTATCAATTATAGTAATATACCATGCATGCTTTATCTTGTAAAAGCAACCATAGCAACATATGATTTTTTTTTACAAAACAAAAAAAAGTATACGACACCGTTCACTTGAGCACGAACCAAAAATTGAAGTCTAGAGTAAATAAATTATTTCAAAGATAATAATTTTTTTGATCTTAGCATAATTAGATAGTCAATTAGCGACATAATTTTTTTCACGGAATATATGCATTATTTTACAACAATCAATAGCAGATATCAGATAAAAAGTATCGCTAACAATATTCAGAATTTTCCATAAAGGAGGGGATTATCTACTAAAAATATTAACAATGGGCATAACAAAAATACATCCTTAAAAGCTAAACGATGTTATTTTGAGCACTCCATAAAACCCATAGAGCTATAGCGATAAATGGTCATTGCAAAGATGGCATAAAATCCAACGAAAAAGAGCTTTTCTTAATCCAAAAATCAAAATATAAACATAGAGACCAAAAAGCTAATGTAACATAACATCGAAATAATAAATGATCAATTGATTCTAAATCAATGTTACAAAAAGGCACATAGTTTTTGCTCATATATTCCCAACACCGTAAGCCAATCTAGTATTGGGAGGCAGTGATGGAACAACTTCCATCAAAATATCTTTACCCATCCGAAGATGACTTCGTAGTAGCTGTGCTATGACACTCGTATCTCGAAAACCAATTGTCATCACGGGTAGTGTTGGGCATGTGTATACTAGCAGCTCTTGTTAACAAGTGAAGAGCCAAATAATTCTTGTAGAAGAGGAGAGTTCTATCTTCCATTACGTATCAAATAAAAAACCATATTGAATTAATATATCATATCAACATTAAAAAAGATAGGCTTGAGATTAATAGAGACATCAAAAATCCAAAAATCAAAGAAAATGATAGTGGAAGTATTGGATCCAATAAGCCTTGAAAAACCAAATCTAAATTTTAAGATTTAAGAAAAAGCCACCAGGCCCAACTATATTTTCCAAATAGATTTCAAAGATCAACCATAGAATACTTAGTCCTCACTATTTGAACCCAGATAGAATTAACATGATTCACGCATTATAATATGTATTTAGCATTCAAAGTAAATTTAATAACATATAGGTCATGAATGCCAATACCATCCAAATGTTTTAGCGGTGAAACAACATTTCAAGATAATAAACAAGATAATAAATGAAAGTCAATGCCAAAAAATCATTGAATGATAATATTAATATTCCCAAGAATAGAATTATACTATTAATATGTCAGTGATGACATTTATGATATACTATATAATTTTATTATTATTATTATTATGATACTTACTTACTTTATATTAGATGATGAATATATTGCGATGTTCTTGTATCTATACAATGAGAATTGAATTATAATAAGATTATGATAATGAGACTAATTCACCTTTAAACACAGACCTTAAATATTTCTGGTCATATGTTACTCGATAAGGACATCGAGATAACTAGACAAACTAATGTGCTATATATTTGTTCAATAATGGAGGCAACTAGTCTCATAGCTGTTTGTGTGGGGACACTGGGGGTATAACATAAATGTTCATTGGAGAATGAGTTCACTTAATAATCCTCTTATGAAATGCTGGATAATTAATAATATCTAATCGTTAGATAATGATTTTCTAGTCCCAAATGTTTATCTGGTCGTTAGAATTGAGATACTAAGGATATTTTGTTTGAGTATTCTATTCTTTGATACCAGATTTATAGGTTTGGAAGTTCAATACAACCGATCATTGAAAATGACAACCAACTTTACAAAAGCAATTCAGTGTCAATAGAGGATCATCCACTCTAGGTATAATGAGAAAAATATCCTAAGTATTCTCGCTTGGGTAAATCCATGACTAAGGTAAATCGGATTGAGAGAATCCGATAAGAGCGAGACTTGGATTGAGAGAAAAGGAGTTATTTGGGAGAATCCGATAAGAGAGAGACTCGAATTGATTTCGTATGAGCTTAACAATACCATGCCCGTATACGATCTTTTAGATATTAGATGGATGATGGATTATAAATATGAGAGTAGACATGTCCAATAGATTAGATCCTCTTGTACCATTTGAAGACTATAGCATAATGACATAGTACATCCATATGAGTTAAATGAATTATTATGAAGATAATAATTTACTAAGTCATGAGGAGTTATGAGTCAAAATGGATTCTGACATGTATAACTCATAGCCAGCTCAGTATTGAACCTAGAGGGTCAACTTCCTCATCTCCTCCCCGCTTCTTTCTCTTATCATTTAACCCTCTTTATGGTGTGAGAGGATCGTAGGAGAGACTGATCCTTACTTGTTTGCTGTTGTATGGTGGTGTGCGATCACAAGGAAAGAACACATTGTGCGAGGAGGTACGTCAATGTTGTGTCTATCATGTGATCACTGCTAAAAGGGATTTCGTGAGAACTCCTTTATCTACGGACTAGGATCTGCGATCTTAGGGGATATATGAGTTCCCCTATGTGAGAGTATCTCACACCCTCAATGCAGTTTTTGGTTTTTGAGTTATACATTCCCGATCATCACATGACAATCCGATAAATATAATAAATCAATTTTTATTTTTATTTTTGACTGTCCATACGAGACTGTCTAAGCTTTCTCAACAAATCAGATATCCAACCAGCGATTAATGTACACTGTTTGAAATCCGACGAACAATAAATATTTTGGTTAACTTTCATATTAAAGATGCTTTCAAAAATTTTGGATATGAATAATATTTTCATAAGAGTTACTGATTAGCACATAAACCATATCATCAGCATATAATAGATGACAGTTTAAAAGTTCGTATAGAGCAGAAAGCCGTTATGCACTTCTCAGCATAAACATGCTTTAAAAGAAAAAGGTAAATTTATCTTACAAAAGTAACCACTGATATTTTACCTATTGATGACAATTATAAGAATAAATACGATAATCATAGCTCACACACATTCTCCGGCAGAGTTTCCAGAAAAGCTTAGAGAGAGGAAAGAGAAATGGTATTTACAATCAATGCTTTTCTGTTAAGATGACCACTGACATGATTGTTTTATCTTTTTTTTTACTAGATGATTATTAAAGAAATAATAGTTTGACCCTTATCAAAACAAAGATATGGGTATAACAGGGAACATTGTCCACAAGTAAAAAGAACCATTATTTTCACTCCAAATCTCCATTTAACTTTGTCATGTTACAGTTTAGACTCTAACCTGAGTAGTTGATGAGAAACACATTGGCTACATTCCTCCTAATTCTCTTGCTATCCTTTAGGCCTAAGTCGCGATAGACAGATCCTTCAATTATCCTACGTATGAAATTTTCTCTGCACGAGCTTTAAGGCAAGAATTAATCGGGTAGTAGATATGTATAATTATCCTTATAGTTGTAAGGCCGTAACTGTGACAAGGATAATCATATTAATATTAATATGTCAGAGATAATATTAATATATTTAATACTATGTTAATATGTTAATGTGGATGTTTTGGAAATATTGAAAATGATTTAGGAATTAACTCTTAGTTGTTGATATGACACATTTTGGTATCGCCCATGTGGACACAGTCAAACAAACACGATGGCATGGACGTGAAATCTTAAGTCTAATGTCGCATGCAGCACACGTGTGGTGCCTCGGACTCAGGCGGGCAGTCGCCCCTTCCGCACAAAACGACATCACGTAGTACAGTCATTCCAGAAAGCTTAAGGCAGTGCAAGTCAATCGACGCTCATATGGAAGCTTAAGCCGATCGCCTGAGGAGCCGATCATAGTTAATGGATCGTATATGACCAACTCATCATTGTAGGTATAAAAGCCAACCCTCTCTAAATGGAAATCGGAGGATTTTTCCAAAAAAAGCTCAACTCCTTTAAACTACATAGTACTGACTTAATCTTTGAAGAGGCCAAATCGGAAAACCCCTCCCCTTCCGACTTAGGCCTATGTGCAGGAGCCTGACAACGATGAAGCAGAAGAATCGTGTGCAGAGCCAACCTCGAGCTCAACCAGACCTGACAAAGGTCTCATCGCAGGGACGATCCTGAATATTGACGATCGAATCGAGCCACACCTCAACCACAGAGAAGTTGGTTAGCAGTTGTTAGATTATTCTCTTGTGGTGGGTTTGTGGATGAAAAATAGGAAATGCTGTTCTAACCCAAATTGAATAAAACTTTTTATTTTCTTCCTCCGCTCATATTGGAAACCTAATCTAACGTTCCAACTCCCCAAACCACATAATGAACCGAAGCGGAACCAACTTTGTACATTTGCTTCTGTCTTGCATGCTTGCTTTTATGGACTCAGAATCTATCTATACGTTTAAATTATCGATATGACGTGTACAATCTAATGAGTCCCGTCAGACTACGGACATACGAAGAAGCCGTGTGGTGCCATCCACGTGATGCCAAAGTGGCCACCATATGGCACGTGCAAGGCAGCAACCGAGTCCCTCGTGGTTTCCCTGTACGTGTATGCATGCACTTGCTCTGTTATTTGGTCTCCGTCAAGTCTGATGCTGCTAATAGAATAGCAGCATTCGTATTCATGCAACGCCGTTCGCATCGGCCAAACGTTACAGTCCAATTCCATTACCAATCAAAGACACGCATCAAACGTCGTGCACAATGATTTTATATGGTCAAATCGGATCTTGTCGGTAGGACTTCGCCCACTTGATTTTGACTTAAACCAATTTTTAAACGAGAACTTAAAGCTGTTCTCCAAAGCTTTTAATCATTTCCTTGTGTTCATGGCCATGGCATTTAGATTCCGAAGGAAGTAAGAGACACCCATAATAAGTTGGACAGGAGGAATACTTTGGTTGCAGCGAATCGTTTGGTAATAGCTACTTCAAATTTAAAACGAAAGATGGGATGTGGGCTGCAGTCTCATCAAAGTTAATATTGGTTTAAAGGACTATATATCCAGCTGTGGTGGTCTTCAATTTTGTCTATCCACATTGTATTCATGCAAGAGTGGGTGTCTATGGCTTATGTGCTTCCCGAATATTTAATCCTCCTAATCAGTGTGTGTCTTCTGGATGGCTTAGGGCTTACTTTCCTTGTCCCTGCAGGAAAGCACCGTTTCCAGAGAGAACCATAGATAAGACGAACAGAATGATGCATGGTCTTCATGGAATATGAGAGGTCATTTTGTCTACCTTCTGTTCAATGGAATATGTATCTATCAATAAGTACAGATCTTTACACGAATAAAACTCGAGCAGTTATCTCAAGCAGAAAGGATTGCTTCATCTGAGAAGGAAGGTAGGAAGGAAGACGGCTGAAGAGAGACGAGGAAAGCATAGGAGAGAGACGCGTCCTTCGTTACTCCGTTCCGGTTCCTCCCAGTTGATCCTCCGGACCACCTTACGTTCGTCTTCCTCCGCCAATACGACGGTCGCCGTGGTCAGGAACTGACTCGTGCTTATTGTGTGGAACCGTTTGAGCAAACCGTGGCCGCGGTGCACGGAGGCGGGGGGAAGACGACGACGCGTCAACAGCGCGATGCCGTGATGTCGGGATGCGCACACCAAGGGCCGCCACGCGTCCTGTTTTGATTGGGCAGTCGGGCCCCGCACTCCCGTGCTCGACTCCACGGGCGGCATGTGAAGGTGCCGCACAGCGGGGATGGTGAGTTCATCTCCTTCCTCTGTACCGCATAATGTTCTCTACGCGACCGACACTGAATCTGCCGTTCAAAGTCGAAGTGTGGAAAGTTCGGCGTGTGATTTCTTGCCCGCATAGGGAAAAGTATGAGAAGATTCTTTGCATGACACGGCCCGCCACCACGAGCTTCCCTTTTGGTCTGCTCTCCGCTCGTATGTGGAATAAAAGGCGAGAGATCGAGTAGGTTGAGAGAGAGAGAGAGAGAGAAAGAAAGTTACCTTTTCTTTCTTTCCGTACGATTCTGCCTTGCTTTCGTGATATATCTTTCGAGTCCATGTCGCAAGAGTTGTCTTGCTTATAAGACAGAGAGAAATCCTCGACATCTCCACCCCCATCTCACTGCAAATCTTCCCAGTTTTGTGAACCTCGATCGATCCCTTCTCGGATTTTGGCCAATGCAGCTCCAATTCGAGCCCGCACGCCTCTCAGATCGGGTTTCCTCGGGCTGTTGATCTCGTAGCTAAAGGGGTTGGAGCGTAACCGTCGAGGTGGGCACCGGATCGAGCTCGCCATGGCGTCGCGGCCTGATCCGAGGGGGAGGAGATCAGCGCAGGTGCCTTCCAAGCCCACCAATTCGCCGAGTTCGTCCACGACTTCGTCCTCCAGGCAGCTGCCTGAGGCCTCCGTCGACGGACAGAGCTCGCCGGCATCCTCGTCGGTCAGGGACAAGCCGCAGTACTTCTGCACGGGCAGTGAGGCGTTCGATGCGGAGGGATCCAAAGAGAATGTGACGGTCACGGTCCGGTTCCGGCCTCTCAGGTTGGGCTTCGGATCTATTCGCCTTCTCCTCTTCACCCATTGCATGGAGGTGTTGTAGTTTGGCCTAATTTGGTTTTTCGGCGGGTAGCCCGCGTGAGATTCGTCAGGGAGAAGAGACTGCTTGGTACGCCGATGGGGATACGATTGTTCGTAGTGAGCACAATCCGTCACTGGCATATGCTTATGGTACGTGGTATGTGTGGAGTTTAATTTCTGCTGCATTTGTGGTGTCTACTACTGATATAACATATTTTTACTTTCGCTGTTCGTTATCGTTACATCACTGGGTTTTGTTCAATTGGTCAATTTGGCTGTTTGCATGAGATATAATAACACGTGTTTTGGGCTGTCCGACGAGTTTATTTTGCTTGATGTTCTCACCTTGAATTGTTCAAAAGTCAAAATTTCAGATTGTTTGCTGTCAAGATGCATAATTCTCTGACCAAGTTGTAAATAACATAACCAATGAAAATATGATATTCTTTCGAAGGTAGCAACATTAAAACCATTATAGAACAACTAGTCAATTGTATAAACCAAACATGCTAGTCAACTGACTAGCAATTTACCATATTTTTAGTTTCCAAGGCAGAGATTATATTTGAATTTCTCCCATCAATGGTGGTATTGTCACATAAAATTTACTTGAACTCATCTTTGCGAGATTCAACTATTCCTTTTGTTGTTCTTGGAGATTTGTTCTGTACAGCTAACTGTATTTCACTTGCAACCATTTAAGTGCTGAGTCAACTGGGGTTTTTTTGTGCCATTCATTCATTAGATGTAGATGCATCAACACCATGTAGGTGAAAGTTTATTGTAGACATAGCCTTCAGATTTGCCAGCAAATCCTTTACCCAGTACTTGGTTCACTCTTTGCATCAAAGAGCTTTTGGTATGAAATAGTTGTGGAGGTGGTGCCCAAGTATTTGATATGATTAATTCTCTAGCTGGGGAAATGTTATTCTCAAAATAATAAATCTCACAAAAATGCCAAAGGATGGGCCATTACATCAAACAATGATGTCTACATGATTGACAATTAGTAAATAATTGCAACCCTTCCTATTATAGTGTTCTGCTATGCATTCACAAAAAGGAATATGGTTAGAGACATTCTAAAAGATCTTTGATCTCAAATATACTTTTTATGACTGGGAGGAATAGTACCAAAGAATTGAAACCGAAAGGGGAAGACATCTATAGAACTGATCCGTACAAGAATCAGTTAGTTCTGCACTTTGGTTACTTATATTAATACTATGTGTTTTGTTGTATTCTGGGCATGTTTCTGTAGAGGTTTTGAGTACTATGTCTACATGTATTTTTGTGGATCCAATTGCTAAGTGCATAAGAAAGCTTGGCTTGACTAATTGCTTTAACCTGAAACTCTAGATCGAGTGTTTGGACCTACAACAACAACACGCCATGTGTATGATGTGGCTGCTCAGCATGTTGTCAGTGGTGCTATGGAGGGTGTCAATGGTAAATATGATCTTTTGTTCTTGTTTAGTATTTTCTTTGACATTGATCTTGAAGAATGATGATTCAAGGAACATCAGGAGATCCATGCTGCTCTTGTGCATGTTATTTATATGTATATACATGCACATATGTATGTTGTGATTTATGATGGCATTAGATATTAATATTTTGGAAGAAATTCTAGCTCGTATAAAACTGAATTAGGCATGAATTTTTAACCTAGTGAACCTACTTCAGTTGCCATTAATGTCATTCTAACCACTTCCCCTTGCCCATTATATTACTAAAATTCTACGACCTACTGAAAATTGCTGTGGATACTTAATGAGTTATAGAATTAGAAGAAATGTTTCCAACAATATTATTGAAGAATTGTAGTCATACCAACTAACTTTACAGATTGATCTTCTTCCTTCTTCTTGAGATAATCATATGGCACACCCAATATCAATTATTGGTAAGCACAATAGTTCTAGCCTGCCATGCTAGCCAAAACATGGGCATAATCTTCAGTGCCACCACATCTCATGCTGAAAGTATTTTGTCTTCTATCTTTGTAGGCATTAACTCTTCATCCTTTTCATTTTTCAGACAAATTGTTTTAGTCGATGAATTCATAATTAAATTTCCTTTTCCAATGAGCAATCATTTATAAACACTAATGCCATGTTCTTTTCTTCGTATAATTTTCTTAAGAATGCAAGTGATCAGCTCCTATGCAAGAAGATACCAGAAATCAAAAACATAAAATCACTTCTTTTATTTTAATCTAAGATTTTCTTTTGAAGTCCAAATTAGCTGCCCTTGACCTACACCAAACAGAAACCCACATAGCTTCATTTCAGTTAGCTTTTGCTAGTTTTGGTTAATTTAGATGCAACTGATTGGTTTTGTTTGGCATAGACTTTTGGATGCATTAAATCGTGCTTTGTTGAAATTTGTTTGAAAGGTTTTTCTCTACAGGAGTAAAAAAATAAAATTCTTTTGTCTCTTCTATTTTTAACTTTTTAATGTCATTCACTCTTATCGAGATGCTGATGATGGACCTTATACATATAAAAGCAATCAATTCTTAAGTTCATCATGCACAAAAAGTTGGTACTCTCAATATCAATAATCCATTATTCAGTTCATCATACACCAAATATTAACATGTTCTTCTCTAACGGCACCCATTTAGGCTACTAATTCTATAGGAACAGGGCATGAGACCTAAAGGTTTTCAACAACACATCAGCAACTAGTTCATCACCAAAGGTATTTAACTTATTGTGCTGGTTTCAAACATGTAATGTATCCAAGATCTTCAATTTCGAATAATACCATCTGTATCGGGCGGTATGTACCGGTCCGCTAGTAGATCGATACAGGACCGCCCACCATCGGGCGGTACCGTCGATTGGGCTATTTTTGCCCTGTTATCATTTTAAATCGGCGGTGACCGAGGAAGAAGAAAGAAGAGGGGTGACCAAGGGAGAAGAAAGAAGAGGGGGAAAGGGAAGAAAGAAAAAGGAGAAGAAGAGGAGTACTTGCGTCGCTCTCCCTCCTCGTCTATCGACGACCTCTCATCCGCGCAAGGAGAAGAATCTCGGCGTCGCAAGGAGAAGAGGTGATGTCGCGGCGAAAACGGTTTTATATATATATATATATATATATATATATATATATATATATATATATATATATATATATATATATATATATATATATATA